CATCAAAGCATCTTTTTTTTTTTTTTAAACTAAGGAACCTACATAAATGGGTAGACAGTGAAGATAAATTATTGAAAAATTACATCACTATTTTAATACTTAGTTCAGCAGACATTTAATCTATTTTGTCATTCACAATCCAAACGTTCTCTTCCAAGGTATTCTCTCAAAATAAGCTCACACTAACTCAGTTCTCCTTGCTGTTCTTTTTTTTTTTTTTTTTTTTCAGACGGAGTCTCATTCTGTCGCCCAGGCTAGAGTGCAGTGGCCCGATCTCAGCTCACTGCAACCTCCGCCTCCTGAGTTCAGGAGATTCTCCTGCCTCAGGCTCCCGAGTATCTGGGGTTACAGGCTCCGAATTATACGCTCCCACTACCACATCCGGCTAATTTTAGTATTTTTTGTAGAGACGGGATTTCACCATCTTGGCTAAGCTGGTCTTGAACCCCTAACCTCGTGATCCACCCTCCTCGGCCTCCCAAAGTGCTGGAATTACAGGCGTGAGCCACCATGCCCCGCCCTCTTTGCTCCTTTCTAATCAGGAAACATCATTGCCAATAGTCCATTCCTCTGACGGCAAAGTACGAGAAACTCTCCACTCTTCAGGCGGTAGCGGCATCTAGTGGCCACGGTGGGAAATGACCAGAACATCTTCCGCAACTAAATTAGCCCAGGCTGTGATTCATGTTCTTTGCTTCACGTGGAAATCATCTGGTGATCTTTACAAACTACTAATATCTGGGTTTCGGGAGTTTTAAAAGCTCTCCAGGTGATTCTAATGTGCAGCAGCAGAGTTTGGGAGTCCCTGGCTTAGATGTCTTTTCTCAGATTGAATCCCTGAGCAGAAAATGCCTACCCATTAGAGCTGGAAGAGTCTCATGCTTATTATGAATTACTTTAAAGGTTCTCAGTTATCAAGGAGTACTTAGCAACATTCTCTTAAGGATGCAAGGATGTTTGAAGCTTCATATATATTGGTTCCAGCTCTTGAATTTCTTTCCCTTTATGGGAGACAGGATGACGATAATTTCTTGTGGTCAACAGATGTGAAAGCTTTGTATGCGTCAATTTGTTAAGCATAAAGATTGTTTTCCTCAGCTGGGCCTAGCACTTGGGGAGGCTGAGGCTGGCAGATTGCCTGAGGTCAGGCGTTCGAGACCAGCCTGGCCAACGTGGTGAAACCCCTTCATTACTAAAAATATAAAAATTAGCTGAGCATGGTGGTGCATGCCTATAATCCCAGCCACTGGGGAAGCTGAGGCAGGAAAATTGCTTGAACTTAGGAGGTAGAAGTTGCTGTGAGCCGAGATCATACCACTGCACTCCAACCTGGGTGACAGAGTAAGACTCTCTCTCAAAAAAAAAAAAAAAAAAAAAAAAGATTGTTTTCTTCATATTTGTAAAGTAGTAATTGGGCTTTTTATTTAGATGTGGCAGCAATTTCGTTTTCTGTTATTTAGTATTTTTGGCCTTTTAGTTGCCTTTTTTTTTTTTTTTTTTTTTAACATGGAGTCTCTGCTGCCAGGCTGGAGTGCAGTGGCACAATCTCAGCTCGCTACAACCTCTGCCTCCCAGGTTCAAGCAGTTTCCCTGCCTCAGCCTCTTGAGTAGCTGGGACTACAGGTGTGCACCATCATGCTCAGCTAATTTTTGTATTTTTAGTGGAAACGGGGTTTCACCATATTGGCCAGGATGGTCTACATCTCCTGACTTCATGTTCGGCCTGCCTGGGCCTCCCAAAGTGATGGGATTACAGGCATGAGCCACCGCGGCCAGCCTCATCTTTTTGTCAACATTTTTCATTACAAGCTCTTGCATGAAAAGGGCTTTGTTTTCAAGTCATAAAATAATTGTTTATTTAACTTACTGTGCCCAGGCACTGTGTTAAAGACTGCCTATGGGGAATGCACACTAATAAGATATGATTCCTATTTTCAAGGAGCTTGAAGTCACATTGGAGAGGTAATACAAGGGTCCAACTAATTAAACCACAAGGCAAATGTGGTTTATTAAGAATCCTTATAAGCAAATGCATGGTTTGAGGGATATAAAAGCAATCCTCTGAAAAGGCTTCTTTGAGATGACATTTGAAAAAAGCTTTGAAAGATCAGTAAGATCTCTTTAGGGAGAGGCATTTTAGACGGAGAAAGGCTTCATCCTTTATATATTTACTCATCAAATAAAATAGAACTCTTACCAAATGTCAGTGGCTTTTCAGAGCACTGAAAATATGGCAGTGATCAAGAAGATACGATGCCCTGCTCTTCTGAAGCTTACATTCTAGTGGAAAGAAACACACCCCCCCCCAAAAAAATTAAATAATTGAGAGACTTTCAGATAGTGACCGATGACGTGTGGAAAATGGAACAAGATACCTGATTTCAGAGTGAAGGGGTAGGAGCGGCAAAGTGTGAGCCTTCTCCAAACAAGTGGCATGAGAAATGAAACCTGAAAAATGAGACGTCCACCAAGGTAAATGTCTGGAAGAGAGTATTCCAGGCAAAGGCCCAGAGACGGTAAGATGTTTGGAGTCTTCGCCGAGAAACAATGAAAGCGGGAGCATCTGGAATATGGCAGACAAGAGGGAGAGCAGCATGACAGGAGGACACGGAGGAGGCAGGAGCCAGATTCCACAGGCCGAATAGGAAACGTGAATTTTTTTTTGGCAGACTTGCTCTGTCGCCCAGGCTGGGGTGCTGTAGTGTGATCTTGGCTCACTGCAGCCTCCACATCCTGGGTTCAAGCGATTCTCCTGCCTCAGCCTTCCGAGTAGCTGGGACTACAGGCGCGCGCCACCATGCCCAGCTAATTTTTGTAATTTTAGTAGAGAAGGGGTTTCACCATGTTGGCCAGGCTTGTCTCAAACTCCTAACCTTGTGATCCTCGTGTCTCAACCTCCCAAAGCGCTAGGATTACAGGTGTGAGCCACTGTGCCCAGCCAGGAAATGTGAATTTTATTGTAACTGATGGGAAGTCATTGTGGTTCCCCTACTCCAACACACACACACCTCCTCCAATCCTGGAGTTACAGGATACAGAAGATTAGCTAACATGTAGGCTTAGACTGGAGTAGTAACAGAGAAGGTGAGAAGATGTGGAAGGTTTGAGATACAATTTGAAGGTAGACCAGCTGGACCTGCTGATGGATTAATATGAGGAATAAAAGAAAATGTACATGCTACTGGGGACATCCGGATAAACACTTATTTCAGAATCAGATTAGGGAATTCTTTTCAAAGTGTTACATTCAGGGAACTTGAGGTAAGTTAAGAAGTTGAACTATAAGTTGAGGAGAGAAGGCAAAATAAGCCTGAAGAAGAGAGAAAGGTTTGAATAAGAAGAAAGAAAGGTATAAGGCAGCTCCTTGTAAGCATAGCAAGAAAAATAGACCTGAAACTTCAAGCAGTAGGGACCCATTAAAGAGTTGTGAGGAGGAAGGAGATATAGTCAGATTTAAGCCAGCTAGGATTCATCAGAAGCATGTGAGGGTGAGTAGTGAATCTGGGAGAGCAATTTGGAGGCTGCAGCTGTAATTAACAGATGATGAGGGCTTACAACAGTGGCTCTCAAGAGTGGGCAATGGGTCCGGCACAGTGGCTCACGCCTGTAAACCCAGCACTTTGGGAGGCCAAGGCGAGTGGATCACCGGAGATCGGGAGTTCAAGAAAAAGCCTGGTTAACATGGTGAAACCCCATCTCTACTAAAAATGCAAAACAATTAGCCGGGTGTTATGGCAGGTGCTTGGAATCTCAGCTACGCAGGAGGCTGAGGCAGGAGAATCGCCTGAACCTGGGAGGCGAGGGTTGCAGTGAGCCGAGATTACGCCACTGCACTCCAGCCTGGGTAACGAGAGTGCAACTCCGTCAAAAAAAAAAAAAAAAAAAAAAAAAGGCTGGGCGAGGTGGCTCATGCCTATAATTCCAGCACTTTGGAACGCCAAGGCAGGCAGATCACGAAGTTAAGAGATCAAGACCATCCTTGTCAACATGGTGAAACCCCATATCTACAAAAAGCACAAAAATTAGCTGGATGTGGTATTGCAGGCCTGTAGTCCCAGCTACTCGGGAGGCTGAGGCAGGAGGATATCTTGAACCTGGGAGGCAGAGACTGCAGTGAGCTGAGATCACGCCACTGCACTCCAACCTGGGCAACAGAGTGAGACTCCGTCTCAAAAAAAAAAAGGAGCAATTTTGCCCTTTAGTGGACTTTGGCAATATCTGGGGCTGGATGGGGGAGGTTACTGTTGACTCCCTATAGTAGGTAGAGAGGCCGGGGATGTCACTGAGTATCCACTAATGCACAGGGCAACCTCACCCTCCCACCCTGCCAAGAATGAATTATCCAGTCTAAAAATGTCAATCAGGCCAAAATTGAGAAATCCTGACCTAAACTATGGCAACAATAGTGCATTGAGGAGAAAGAGCAGAGATGGCAGAGAGAACAGAATAGGTGACTTATCACATGCAAGAAACCATGGTCAGGCTTTTAAGGCAAATAGGTGAGCAGTGTTGGTCTCTACTGAAAGAGAGCCTACGTGAAGAGCAGAGCAGGTTTTTGGGGAGAAAACGGTGAATTCAGCTTGAACACTGAACTGAGTTGGAGATGTCTGTGGGGCCATGAAATAGACAGGGCAGGAAGCAGTTGAACATACAGTAGTTCTTTGCAGGGGAGAAGTCTTAGAAAGTAATTGCTTTGGACCTAGAATGTTAGGAGAAGGCATCAGTGTGGGGCTGAAGAGGAGATGTTCAGTGCTTAACTGGATTTAGCAACAACCCATGTACAGATGGATGTTAGGAAGTGTTTGGGAAGCGTCTGCTGATGAGACTGATTATTATGCTTGTAACAGAAATGTGTAAATTGCCTTTTTTGCAGGAGCGAATACAGGCTGATGAAGTGATTGCAATCCTGGATGAAGAACAGCAAGGAAAGCATGAACTGAATATCAACCCTAAAGATGAGCTATAAAAATGAGAAAGAATGTTCTATCAAATATTTATTTAAATTGTTAATCTTATGAGAACCTTTTTATTTTTGTACAGAGCCGTGGGATAAATTAACAGGTTAATATGAGTCATCAGATCTCCCTTCTGTTCCTAAGGATGCTTGTGTTGCATCGCTCAGTCTGTCGATCTATCTTTCTTGTTTTGTGGTTCTTTCTCGCTCTCTCTCTCTCTCTCTCTCTCCCTGTCTCTCTCTCTCTCTCTCTCTCTCTCTCACTCCCCTTCGACACATGGTTTTACCATGTTGTCTAGGATGGAGGGCAGTGGCTGTTCACAGGTGTGATCATAGCACGCTGCATCCTCAATCAACCTCTTGGGCTCAAGTGATCCTCCAGGCCTCCCAAATAGCTGGGACCACAGGCACGTGTCACCACGCCCGGCTCTCTTTCTTTGTTTTTCATCACTTCACCTATCCATCAAAGCCCAGTTCACCTCCTCCCCAAATACACACACACACACACACACACACACACACACACACACACAATTAATTTGCTGCAAATCCAAAAGGTCAGAGAGAATAAACTTGTTGGTGAAACTACAACTGTCATGTGTGCTCCAGTTCTAAAATTAATGTGTGCTTAGTCTCGGAAGCCGTTTCTTGCTCTGTTCCTTTCAGCCACATCCTCTTAGAAGCTAATGGCCATGAGCTCTGACTCTCCCAAGTGAGCACGGCTTTGGGTCTGAGGAGCCTGTGACAGAGTCTGCGCTGCCTCAGATATCTCGGGAGTAATGATCACCTAGGGTCCAGGAGATTTCATGAATGATACAGTAATCACTGTATGAGACAGAGGGGCCTCCAGTCTTTCCAGGGCCTTGGTGGAATTTTTGGCTCTGGTGTTTTCATCAGACACTAAACTTACACTGGAAGCTTTGATTGACCCTCCACAGTACTCCACAAAGGACTACCCTATAAACTGTACATTTTAGAAGGTCATGTAGAGGTTGAAGTAGAATGGCTTTTCATTCCAGTGACTTTGGAAGAAAATCTTGAATACTACCTGGATCCACGCACCATTGCCAGGTTGCCTGGGAGTGGGGTCCACTGATGAAAAGTGGTGTTTTGTACTTAGGTAAGAAAAATAAACTTCTGATTGGTTTTAATTGTCATCTGCATATATTTGGGGTCCCCTCCTCATTGCTGCTATCTGGCACGCAGATTCATGCTTGTGTCTGATTTAATAAAGGGAGTCTTATTTTAATATGTGGCATCTATTTTTCTTCTCCCAAATGTTTGGTTTAATCTTCACGGAATGGTTTTGTAATTACACAGGGGCTTTTGGGACCACCTAGGGGCAACGCTGGGACATGACTAATGTGGCAGGTGCAGTGGCACAGGAATGGCGGGGGCATCGCTCTTGAAGAACAGAGATGGTGACAAAACAGGGCATTGATCCAGAGAATGCTTGTTCTGGGTCCCAGTTCTCAAGAAGACACTACAATGACATAGCTCATGGGGGCTGAGGTTCTTCTAACCTAGGGGAGACTTTGCCATTAACCTGTGGGAGGTCACCTGTCTTGATGCTGGGCAGCGGTGGAGGGAACACTTTCTGCCGTTGACAATCTTGGTTAGTGGTAAGAACATTCATCCTTTGAAATTGAAAATTTGAGTTAGTGATGTATGTGACATTTGTGTTTTTACTGAACATTCTGGTTGCAACTTAATCATGGGACAGTAGAAAGAGCATTGGATTATACCCACGGCCATATCAATATGCTCTGCTGTATGACATGCAGCTACTCTCTTTCCCTTTCTGGACTTTAGTTTCCTTCTCTGAAAAATGACGTAACTGATTGTAACAGATAATCCCTCCTGCTCGAAATACAAAGCAAGGAAAACAAACAAGAAAAAGAGAAACCAAAACTAATGTTTGAAATAGTCACCAGTACAGCCAAATTTATTTCTGCTAACATTTTGAGAGTCGTTAATAGGTTTTTTATGTATGTACCTGATTTTTAAAACCTTAAATCCAAATTTAGGACTAAAAGTTCTTGACCTTTGTAAAAGTAGATTGCTATTTGTTTGTCCTCCCACTGTGAAGAGCTTATTGGCACTCAGATTTGCTGATTGGAGGATCTGGGTGAGTATCTGATTTCTGTTTTCTGGCAACAAGGTATCAACAAAGAAACAGTCTTTGGCGCCTTAAAGTTCCCACTTCCTGGGTGCAATGGGCACTAGGGGAGAAGCAGGGACTTCATCACTGATTCTTATATTCAGGCCACAGAAAGTGGGTGAAGGCCTCAATAGATGGGTAGTTATTCCTGTTTTGCAGGTTAACCATGTTGCTTTACACCTGAAACATCATGTATATACTAAAGCGTTTACCTTTTAATCTGCTCCACATCAAACCATACATAATTTCATTCAAATATTTAGGGAGTGTCATCAGAGGACTTAAAAAATAAGTTAAGCTTAGAAATTGCAGTTTGTGTAGTACATAATCTCTTGTGTAGAAGGATGGAAGAGCCCATTAGGATTTTTGTTGCTTTTACAGCTGAAGGAGGGCGTAGAAATCACAATTCAATTTCGCCATTCTTTTTGGGTAGAAACTGAGGCTTAGACGTGGTAAAGATGATCCCATGGTTATAGAATTTGAGGAACAGAGCCAGAGCTAAAACCAGGACTGTTGAACTTGGTTTTGCAAGAATGCTTGTGGGAGTGTACATGGGGGCTGGAACCCTGGCACAGGGCTTTGGCCGCCTGGAGGAAGGGCTCCCTTATTCTATTTGCCCAGAGATGGTAGTACTTGCTTACCAATCTATGGACGTGCAGGGTGTATCTTTCCAGAAAGCGTGTCTTTTCTAATACTCAAAGTGCTCAATATGCTTGAGTCAGCCTAGGCTGAGCAGTCCAATGTGAATGAATAGTACTTCTCATCTGTGTGATTGGAGGAATCACCACTGGTCTTGGTGGTTATCCTTCCCTTGTATGAAAACCTTGCGGCTCACAAAGCTTTTATTTTCACCTATATTATGGCCTTGGATGCTTACAACACAAAACATGTTCGCACACTGGGAAACCCAGGAGGCATTCTGGGTGTGGATTGCGATGTCCATTGTGCAGATGAGGACATGGAGAGCAGTGGAGTGAGGTGATTACCTGGGGCCACTCGGCTCGGAGTGTCCAGGTCTGAGCCAGAAGCATAGTCATTTGGGTCAGAAGGGAGAAAAGAGCACCACGGTTGTTTCTGCCCCCACCATGCTCCTAGGCATATGAAATATAAAATAATAAATTAATGTGAATTTAAAAGTTTGATTTTACAAAATCAAGAAAACGTTTTCTCCTCTTTTATTTTCCTGCTGAGGCATGTATGGTGGCATGCTTCCTCTTCTCTCTTCTGTGATATCTTGAATACGGGTTGTATTATTCAATTTGATTCAGCCCTACTTTCGAAGACACACCCTGAGCCTTGAATGGCTTTTATGACGCTCACAAAAGGGAAAAAGGTTCTAGTAAGGTATCATTTTTCTCTCCCTCAAAGGCAACAAGAATCTGGAACTTAAGTTTCTTCTTTAGAAAAAGCTGACACAGAACAGAGTGATACTGTGGATATGTGAAGTGCTTTCTTCACAGCCCCGAATGTACGTTGTTTGACAAGGAAATCTCAGTTTTAATGCACTCTGAAGACTTAATGCACTCTTCATCATTAACATCCTAACATTTTTGGCACTTCTTCAGCTGAGGAGAAGCCATGGTTTGAGTCAGTACTATTTAGTAATATATACCTATGCATTCTAATTGAAGTACAAATGCTGAATTATTTCACCTGAGAGAGCCACAGGGCATGGTTCCTTCATTGACGTCAGGAAAAGAGGTAATGGGGGCCACCTCACCAGTTCCTTATTCCGAAGCATCAACATTCTGAGCAGACTGACAGTGGTACGGCTGAGAAGTGGGAAAATGCTAACCTGTTCTCACATCCAGAACTCTTTAGGGAAACAGGAGCCATTGGCAAAAGCTCCACACCACAAGCCCTCTCTGCCTCCTGTTAAGAAGCCTTTGACGTGAAGTGACGTCCTCACATAGTTCTAATTGCCCACCCACAAATCCTCTACTCGCAGATAATTTGCTGTTTCCAACAGGAGACATATAGACTTTTTTTTTTTTTTTTTTCCCGGACCTGGTTCATTTCTTCAAACACATCAAAACAGGTAACATCAACCACTCATTGAGCTCACTGCTGGGTGAAGCTGCAGACTCAGTCTGTCAGAGCTTCCCCCTTAGCGCTTCCTCCTTGTAATTCAGTGTTTTCGGTGCCCACTGCTGACCTCTGAGGCCAAAGTCAAGCTGGGAACAATCTGACTATTGATTCTGTTCAACTCTACAATAGATGGCATCAGCTGTGAAAACTTGGGTTAATGAGTCACCTCTGGCTTCAAAAATCTTGTTAAGGGCCTGCAATAAAAATAACCAAACAAGATGTTCCTATCATTTTTTTTTTCCTGACACATTGCTGGGGAGGATAATCTAAATGAATGCTCCATTTAGTCAACATATGACACATCTGTTCTAGTTATTTTATATGGTACCTTTAGGAGAAGGGGGAAGAAAAGGTGAAGAAGACATGCTGTGCCTTCTCTTTTATGTGGTAGAATGGCCACAGAGGAGACCCAGGATGGACCAGAGTTTGACTGTCTTTCTGCCTTAGCAGTCCCTCTTCTGATGATCTGAGACTTTCTGCTTTTGAAGAGTGAATCGAATTTGAATAGATAATGCCAAGTGCCTTCTTCATTTGAGTCTCTATTTCAACAGCGATTTGGGTGTTACCTATTTATACGGGAATCTTGGCTTGGGCCCCCTCAACAGACTTAGGTGCCTTCCCGCATGGTGGCAGTGTGACGGCATCGGTCCTAATAATCTTATCCAGACCCAAGGTAAACCCTCCTCTCTTAAGTTTATGTTTTCACCTCTGAGTTACTTCTGGTGGCGGGTGGAGGCAGAACTAGGGAATGGACAATAAGCATTACCTGATATGTCTCGTCTCTTTCTACGCGTTAATTGTATATTCCATTGTTTCAAAGGTTGTAATCATGGTTGGCTTTATAAAGCTTTTTAATGGTCTTGAGGCACGTAGCAATCCTATGTAACTACGTAATTATCTTGAGAGACACATCAATACCATCTTCATTGTGTCAATAGGAAAAACAAACAGGCCCAGAGAAGGTGACGTAGGAAAGCCCTGGTCATTTATGAATTCATTTCTCAGAGAGTTTTTGAGTGGCCGTGTGGCAGTAGGCCTAGGGAGATATTTAAAGATAAATAAAACTTTATCCATTCTTTTAAGGAATTCACATTGGAAGACATAGGTGTGAACAAATGATCCACTTAAAGTAAGGTGAATGCTATGGCAGAGGGTTGTGACAGGTAGGAGGAAAGACCATGCAAGCGGGAAACAAGTGGTTGCTGGTAGGGAAAAGCTGGAGAGAAGGTGACAGGTAAGCTGGGTGGCATGCCTGATCTGCCATCAACACACATGGCCTCACATGGCCTCACAGTGTCCTCAACTGGAAAGTGTTGCATTTGAACTGAACGATTTCTTGGGATCTAAAAGATCGAGCCTTCAGAGAAAATGAGAGTTCGTAACGTTGGTGTTTTGGGGTGGAGTGGAATGAGATACGCTTGGGAAAGCAGTTTAATGAGTGCTGTGAAAATCCAAATGAATACCAGTTAAAGAGTAAGTTTTATTGTATGCCCTTGCAAGGGGTGGTGTGATTCAAGTGGGTAGTGTGAAGCCCTGAAGGACTGAGCTTCCTTCTGAAAAGCAAAGGAGTAGCTACTCTCAGAAAAAGCTGAAGTGAATTCATCGTTCAGACGAAAGTCAACTGGCTCTACCAGCAGCATATCCCTCTGCCCACGAGTCCATGAAACTTTCTACCCTGCATGACCTGGAACCAATCTACTTCACTCAGATTATTACACTTTCACATCAGAAATGGGAGTAACGGCAGTATTCCAGCCCACAGGTATGTTGTCTGAAAAGCTTAGCTTTTGGTAAACTCGTTCAGTCTTTTAATAAAGCCAGAAAGCCACGTAATGCTTTGCTAATGACATCTTTTCCAATGTCAAACAAGGAACAGAAGGAATCATTGAAAGCAAACCATCTCCAACAGAAGTTAATTGGGCCAATTTACCTCATTTAAAACCAAAGGGTCAAATAGGACATAGAGCAACAAATAGCCAAGCACCCTCATTCTGTTCTCTGTACCTGTTTCTTGGTCTGTTAAACTTTGCAAATGCCTTTGAAGGTCTTAGGCAACCAGACTACTTAAATGTAGAATAAATTATAGAGTCCCTGAGGCTCAGAAGCCGACTTCAAGGCTTCTGGTCACTGGAGTAATATTCTGGTCTCTTATGATATCCAGTGTTTAGCAACACTTACTGCATAGATGCTAGAATTTTTATGATATTTAAAGTTCAGGATTTCAGGACATGTTTTTTTTTTTTTTTTTTCACATGTTAATATGAGCCACAGTTATATTTCTTTGAAGCTAACATAAAGACGACTTGGAAGTTTTCACCCCTTCAGCATCCAAGATAAAGGTGTAACAACATCATTTAGGACAGCTGGATTCTCAGTGGTCTTAATTTACAATTTAGTCCACCCTTAGCTACTTAGTATTAAGGGAAGAACAGGCATGGGAGTATTGTTCAAGCTCCCTTGCCTAGACAGAGTGAAGATTTCTGGGAGAGTAGTCCGCTTTCCTTAATCATTTAGCATTGGGTTCACTAAGCTTTTCACAACATCCCAATAGATGTGATTAGTGTTCTCACATGGGGCGGGGGACCCACCAGAACAGACAAATAATTTGCCAGAAGTCAAAGTCAGTAGACGTTAAGTTCCTCAAGTTAAAAAAAAAAAAAGTTGCTGAACTCTAAGAATATTTTGCAGTTTTGATGTTTTGAATAACTAGGAAACAGGAGGAATTATTAGAAACTTATCTAACACTAGATATCTTTCTAACACCCACTCCTCCACCGTCCAGTGGAAATCCAGGAGGAGGTGACACCTTCAGGAGGAGGCTACACGTTCAGCAAGATGGCTGCTGCCACTGCCCTGAGTCGGTCAGACGTGATTAAAGCTCTGTTCGAACACGCCCTAGTTTCCTCAAAGGGAGCACTCTCAGGCTTCCCTGAACTTCCAGGCCTCAGGACTAAGCACAGGGTACAGATTTGTCCTTCCAGACATTTGGCTCCCGAGTGATTTTTTTTTTTTTTTGCCTCTAAGGGTAATAAAGGTACATCAGATGTTGCTCTGTGTACCAGGAAGTTAGCTTTGAAGACTGAGTGAGCCACTTCAAAGGCTAGGCACCCTGTGGAGATGGCTGTCCCTGTGAGCCATCAGGGTGTGCCCATCAACCCGGGACACAATGCCCACCAACCCACTTACCAGCTAAAGGCTGATTGTCAAAAATGTCAAATGTGACAAATTGGCATGCCAAGACTTAAAACTGCCCTACCTTCAGAATCAGCATAAAATATGTTACCATGCCTTGAACTCTGTGGTCAAAACATGTCATTTATATGTAGAAGGATTTACAAATTAAGTAAAATGAAATTTGAATGACTATGAAGCTCAGCACAGAGGGCTTTTCATTGTTGATCTGAGGTCAAGGTTTAACCCATCAGAGCGCCTTAAACAGGGAAGATCAAGTCCATGGTAGGGACCCCAAGGAAGAATCACAGCCACAATTGTGCTTTGTATTTATAGCTTAGCAAATGAAGGACACTGTAAATAACTGACTCCAAGTTGGTAGGGGCCTTAGAAAGCATCTGGCCTTGTGTCCTTTATTTTAGAGCTGGAGAAATGGAGGCCCAGAGAGGGATGTGAATTACCTAACTTTACTGAAACGTTAGTGGTAGATATATGCACTCCAAACCAGGTCCTCTGACTCCTAGTTTAGAAAACCATCCTGGGAACCTATGGAACTGCAGAGAAGAGTGCAGACTTCGTGTTACATGGACTTGCAGCCCTTTCTGCCTTTTACTAGACTTTAATGCACATATTTTCAGTGTCTTCATCTGTACAGAAAAGGCTGGTAATATCTATTTCATAAATTATCAAGAGATTTAATTGGCCAGGCAGGATGGCTCATGTCTGTAATCTGAGCACTTTTAGGAGGCCAAGGCTGGAGAATGATTTGAGGGCAGGAGTTTGAGACCAGGCTGGCCAACATATGGAGATTAGGAAGGAAGAAAGGGAGGAAGGAAGAAGGGAGAAAGGATGGAAGGAAAGAAGGAAGGAAGGAAGGAAGGAAGGAAAGAGGGAGGGAAGGAAGAAGGGAGGGAGGGAAAAAGTGAAGGAAGGAGAGAAGAGAAAGAGAGGAAGGGAGGAAGGAAGGAAGGCAGGAAGGAGGGAGGGAGGAAGAAAGCAAAGGAAGGAAAGGAAGGAAGAGGAGAAGAGAAAGGAAAAAAGGAAGGAAGGAGGGAGGGAGGGAAAAAGGGAGAGAAAAAGGGAAGGAAGGAAAAGAATGAAGGAGAGAAAAGAAAGGAAGGAGGGAAGGAGGGAGAGAGAAAGCAAAGGAAGGAAAGGAAGGAGAGAAGAGAAAGAGGAAGGAAGGAAGGAAGGAGAGAGGGAGGGAAGGAGGGAAGGGAAAGAAGGAAGAGGAGAGAGATTGGGAAGGAAAGATTGGTTTAATTGAGATTATGAAAGAAAAGAGCCAAACACAAAGCAGGTGATCATTAAAAGACAATGACTTGTGCCTATATCAGAACACCCACAACGAAGGAAAATGAGTCGAACCGTGAATTCTCTGGCAATGTTTTACCTGCCCTCATAACTTTTTTTCAAATGCATTATTTCTTGATCAACCTCAGAAGCTTTGAAGTTAATTTTCATACAGTTACCTTTAGAAATAGTCTCTGATCATAAATAACACACTTATTGCTAGGGCAGGGGCACAAGAGAAGAGAAACTTGTTATAAAAGCACAAAATTGAGAGTTTTTAACTCCCAGCTGGTGATCAATCAGCAGTCCGGAAGAGAGAGGCCCATCTTTTCTGCAGCCACCTCATTTGGTCCTTCTGACAGCCTAGCTTTCTATCTGCACTGTGACATTACAGCTACTTTGTGCTACTTTGAAAGATACAATTTTTACCTATTTCCTTTTACTGAGCTTTCCGTCTCTTGCTTTTCAACTGTGTAAAAAACACGGAATCGTTAGTGAGCAGCAGAGGGCACTATTGGCATATTTTGCTGGGAGGGGTTACAAAATTAAAAAGATGCCTCTATGCATTCATTCATTTGTTCATGTTAGCAAGTCTTGATTTAACATTTACCATGTTCTCAGCATTTAAAGGAATGCTAAACAAACATGAGGTGTTGCACTTACAGTCCAGGTGGGAACATGATCTAAAATGATACATGCGGTACCTGCCTGAACGCAAAAAGTGTACGTTTTGGAGGTTTTTGAGGACAGCAGAGTTCAGTTCAGTAGGCTGGTGTGACCCAGGAAGTATTCGGGAAGAAGTTAGTCTAGAGTTGTTTCTTAAATGATGAGTATAATATGGAAAGGTAAAGATAAAATATGTAAGAGATGAAATAGACAACATAAAAAAAAACAGTAAGTCTTGCATTGCCAGGAACACCAACACTAACTGTTGACAGTCACTACTCTGACAAGTATTACCTCTACTGCTTATAATAGTCCTCCTGGTTCACTGGTTGGTTAGCTGCTTTCACAACCATGATGTCATTTTGCCCTTACTGTAACCCTGTGACTTCAGCTCTATAGGTATTATTATCTTAATTTTACTAATGAGAAAATCAAAGCTCTTAGGGGGAAAGTGACTTGCTTAAGCTCACACCGTCAGGGGTAGTGCTGGGATCCAAAACTGGTTTTCCTCCCTGCTAGTACAGCAGGAAACAGCAAATTTTGTAACACAGACTCCCCTGGAAAAGACGGCTTGGGATGCAGAGTTAAAAGGAAAAGTCACAGCTGTTAGGCTACCTACAGGATACTGAGGGCTTGATTGAAAGCTAAACTGGGGTATCGGGGCTTGATCCTATAAACTTCAGGGAGGATTCTGAAGTCCGGGGGAGCTAGACACAGGTGATTATAGGTTGTAGTCGTTCGTTTAGCAAAGCCACATGGGAAGGATGGGAGGAAAAAAGGTCAAGTGTCAGGGATACCAATAAAGGAAATGTTACACTCATCAAGGCTTGGTGGGGAGTGAGTTTGGGAGTAGTCTGCCCCAGTGGGAAGGAGATTATTTTATCTTTGTCATTGTCTGCAATTACTGGGATATAGAAAAAATACAAAGCACACTGATTTTGAATTGGTTTTATATCAGCTGTAGACCTCTAAAGACAACACCCTGCCATTGCCCACACCCAGGGGTATCCAATGGTACTGATTGCCTTCCTTGGTCCACCCAAGGCGCATGTGAGAAGCCTGAGGCAGGCTTGCAGCAGTGGGGCTTGAGAGGAAAGGATTAAGCAGACATCCTGAAGGAAAAACAAAGCAGAACTTGGAGGCTGTCAGAGGCACCAAAAAGAAAAGGTAAAAATTATGACTCTGAGATGTTGCACCTAAGAAAATAATGATGTTGGTGATGCAAGTAGGGAAACAAGGGAAAACAAACTGCTTTCATAGGGAATCTGACCTTCCGGCACATAAGGACTTCCAAGGAGCAACTTAGCGCTGAGCTGGAATGTTTTCATATAGATGTACTTCCTACTCTGTTTATTGATTTCTTGCTTATCATCTTTTTCTTTACCTGAAAACATATAAATTACTTTTAATAGCTCTTCTACGGGTAAATTAACTGAGGTGGCAGGTAACATTGTTTGTTTTAACGCTCCTTGCTTAAAACCCTTCCAATGATGTAGAAACAGATCCCAGAGATCTTCTGGCTTACACTCTCACACTGGCACCCTCTACCCCCTCAACCCTGCATGCTGCCACTTCCCCCTCGTTACTCCCTACCCTTCGGCTTGGCCCTTTCTTGTCTCTTCGATGTTACATTCTATTCTGTCTGCTGAGAACACTCTCATCCTCTCACCATCACTCTGACTTCACCAGGAAACTGACAGCGGGTGACCACCCATCTCGCTTTTCCTGGGACTGAGGGACCTCAAAACCAGAATGATCCTGGGCAAACCTGGACAGTTGGTCACTCTACATGATGTAGTGGCTTAGGTCTGGAAGATGTCTTCCTCTTGGAAGCCTTCCCTGTTGCCACGTACTCCTACACTAAGTTCGATCTCTCTGCAGAGTAGTCCAGACCTTCCCTTCCTTCCCCTCCCATGACCCTTCTCACACCCCTAATTATTGAGTTTATGTCCATCTCCTCTGCCATCCATGGTAGTGGACTTTGTGCCATCACCACTCTCTGGTCCTAGCCCGCATCATCTCTCTCTCTGCTAAATTACTGAAGTATCCTCCTAGCTTTTCTTTTTCTTCCACTCGTCCTCTTTTGGTATATTCTCAACCAAAAAGCCAGAGTAATCTTCGTAAACATACACTAGCGGATGTCATTCCTCTGCTCAAACATCTTCCATTGGTTTTCCATCTCATTGGCTAAGTCATCAGAACAGCCACCAACACCTGAAACAGCTACCTCTGTTCATATCTCCTGTACGCTCTCCTTTTGCTTGCTTGGCTGCAGTGGCACTGGCCTCCGTATTCTTCCTAGAACATGCCTGTTGCCTAGCATGCTCCAGCCTCAGGGCTTTGCATTTACTGTTGTCTACTATGCCTGAGCCATTTTTCCCTGAGGTGTGTACGTGGCTCATTCTCCATGTCTATCAAGCAGAGATCAAACATCGCCTTCATGAGGAGGTCTCCCGTGACCTCTCTCTACAACAGTTGGCATTCTCACTCGCTCTCTCTGCTTAATTTTTTCATAACACTTAGTACAATCTAACATCTTATGTGTAACCTAACTTCTTTGATTTATTGACTGCCTCTTTCTGCCCAGAATACAATTTCTAAGGCAGGGATTTCATCCATTGCTATATTTCCACAGTTTAAAAGATTACATGACACAGAGAAGAAATGCATAAGAATTAAATGAGTAATTAATTAATGTACACGCAATTAAATGAAAAAGTGAACAGACACATTGGAAAGGACGATTGACTGAAAGTCACAAATCTTAGCTTAATCACTCAGCATTTGGGAGACCCAGAAAATTACTCTCTTACTCTAATTCTTATTTTCTC